GGACCGGGGCACGAACCCGTGTCCCCTGCATCGGCAGGCGGACTCTCAACCACTACGCCATCAGGGAAACCCCGGGCCTGCTTTTTTACTCAACACGTTACTCAACATCTTTTCATCTCAGTAACCTTATTTCTATGATCTCATTTTTAGTAAGTGAGGCAGATTCCACCAAATGACTCTGCTACGATATATTCAACTATGTACAACATTTAAGTTTTTTGGAATTGGTTGATTATTAAAAAGAATGCAGCAATGAACATCCTTGTAGCTAGGCTCATGTAACCTATTTTTCTTCCATTACTTTTATGGTCTTTTTTTTTTTTTTTTTAATTTTATGGTCTTGATTTCCACACACAAACATTTAATCCATCTGAAATTTATTTTTCCGTTTGCAAAAGAACTCAATTTTTTTTTGAGGTAGAATTTTAAACCCCTCCTTTTTTTGGTCTGTCAATTATCTTGATACCATTTATAAAATGACCAATTATTTACATCACTGATTTGAGGATGCTGCTTTGTCATATAATACAGTTTTATACATTTAATCTGTTCCTTGCTATTTTATTTAGTTCCATTAATTTTCTAGTCTTATACCAACAGTGTACTATTTTAATAACTATAGCTTTACAGTACTTTTAAAGACCTAGTACAGAACCATCCCATTCTTACTCTTCCTTAAGCATACATAAGCACATAATAAATCCTACTGTAGAGCATTTATTCTGTCCAATAGACTTTATTTTGTTAAATTAAAAAAAATATATTATTGGTATTTTTGACTGCACTTACATTTATTTCCATAATACCTGATGTTATTACAATATTGATTCAATCCAGCAATGTCTCTTAAACTTTTTATCCTTCAGTAAAGTTTGTTTTCTCTATGTAGGTTATTCACATTTCTTTATTTCTTATATTTTTAGTTGCTATTGTAAATTGTTTTTTTCCGCATTATGTTTTCTTACTGGTTGATGCTATTATATAAGAAAGCTCTTAGCTACCTGATTACTAGTCTGACAGTGCTTTGGGTTATTCTCTTAGTCTTGACAGATAAGCAACTGTTTGATCTCTATGTAATTAAAATTTTATCTTCCTGAAAGAGGAAATATTCTTTCTTTCTTTCTTTTTCATGGGCAAAATACCTACAAGCACGAAGAGGAAGATTATTGACTTAATAATGGAAACGCTGCTAGTGGGTTGTTACCTTATTAAGGACCCTTCCATATATTAATAGTTTCCACATATTAGAGGGGCTCTGAATATCAGGAATGGATGTTGAATTTTTTTCATTTCTTTTTTTTTTTTCACCTTAAATATTTTTATTTGGAATGGATGGAAGTTGAATTTTATCAAACATTTCAGAGGCATCTACTGGGATGTTTGTGTGACTTTATTCCTTTGAGCTACTGATGTGATGAATTACTCTAATATGGGACCACCTGTCAGTAGTCAATCATACTTGATTGTGTTTTTCTGGCTCTACAAGAGTTTTGTTAGACCTCATTTTCATGTCTGCTATAGCACCTGCAATTTCTCAAGAACTACTTTTCAGAATCCACGTATGAAAACTTGGACAGTACCTGGCCCTTGCCCACACTTGTCGTGGTGCCCATCTACCTGTTCATTCCTGGTACCAGCCACCTTCCCCGGCCAGAACTGAGTCCATTCACACATGCATCCCCCTACGTGTTCCGGGGTAAAGAGAACAAACAAGGGCCTCTTGTCAACATTGTGTGTGGGCTTCTCTGTCTGACCTGGGCAGCCTCAGAGACCCCTGGCTAACCAGAGCAGAGGCACAGGCCAGGAGGCGGGGTCTCCTTGCCCTGAACCCCTGCTCAGCTACCCCTAAGAGTCCCTCCTTGGGTTACTGCCGGTGTTTGCTGCCGTCAGCCATCTGATGCTGATGCAGACACAGAGCACGAGAACCATGAAAAGGGACTCCAGGCTTGTGAAGCAGGCCACGGGCAGAGACGAGCTGCATGATATGAAGTGGCGGCGGG